CAATGTTGGATTGTGTAATTTATAACTGATTTTAAAGTGAATCTAAAAGAAGGATTTAGATATACCTAGAGCTTTGTCAGTTTATATTTCCCCTGAACCCAATAGTAAGTGCAAAGAACACTAGAGAACATAGATTATGAATAGACATGGACAAGTACTTATATAAAGAAGAAACATTTTTAACCTCAAGGATCCTTTCCGTGTCTGCGACGCAAAGAACCATCACCTTGATTCTTTATAAGAAGAGCGGATGGTAGAAACCGAGGAACTGTGAACGCTACCACGAGACACAACACTACTAATATAACAACTGACCAGCTTGAGTAAGGTATGCCCATGAGTTGTTCTTCACAAACTGTTTTTGTGGCACAAAGATTTAGAAGTAGGCACAAAGATGCAAAAGAGTCAAGGTTAGAAGAACTAAAAAGATCGATAATGTAAGCTTGCCTACGTTGTAAACGATGAAAGATCTTTCTTTCGAATTCGGTATTGCCACGATCCCCTCGGGTTCCATGGTAACCAAAACATACAATCCAGCCTAAAACAGAAGAACCTCAGGACGCGTTTTTTTTCCCTTCCAAGTCCAATGAATTTAACAGAAAGTATACCTTATTGTTAACTCTTGCAGAGTACTTTCCGCCTTAAAGATCAACTTCTTGGTATCTAGTAATCTCCTCATTTGGTTAAGCTTCAACACCACCATTTCACTGTTCTTTAGTAGTTGAAGCGAAAACCGAGCAGGTATCTGTTAAAACTTAAAACCAAAGACACAATAAGATTTCAATTCAACAACACAAAGCCGATCAAAACGATTGAAAAAGACGAGATTTTTAACATACAGAAGCAGGGTATGAAATCTTCACTTCATACCAAGAATTCGACTTTAGTCTTTCTAGCTTGTAAACACGAGAACCTGATTGCAATGGCAGAGTCTCCTTGCACGATTCATTCCCAACATATAAAGCTTTCACATCAAACCTTAAGTAACAAAATCATCACAAAGTAACATAACACAAATAACTTAGTAGTCTCAAGCATGTGCAGGGTCACAAATTGAGGAAGATTTGAGTAAGTTTCAAGAACACTAACATGTTCTCGTGGCCGAGACAAGGCAACCCATTTATGAAGACTACAAGACATAACAGTAACAAGTGTCTGATTCCAAGCTTATAATCAGAAACCCTGAAATCGTTGAATCAAATCCCAAATTAAGACACATAATAGATTCTCCTGAATAGACTTACATAAATCAGAGATAAAATGGCAACATTCGG